GGCGAAGAGTGCGGGGATGGCGGCAGTTCCACTGGCTCAGGCGCGGGACCCGGCGCGGTGCTGTCCCTGGGTGCCTGCTGCCTGGCGTTGCTGCAGATATTCCGCTCCAAGAAGTTCCCGTCGGACAAGCTGGAGCGGCTGTACCAGCGCTATTTCTTCCGCCTGAACCAGAGCAGCCTCACCATGCTCATGGCCGTGCTGGTGCTCGTGTGCCTCGTCATGTTGGCCTTTCACGCGGCGCGGCCCCCGCTGCAGCTGCCCTACCTGGCGGTGCTGGCGGCTGCCGTGGGTGTGATCCTCGTCATGGCCGTGCTCTGCAACCGCGCCGCCTTTCACCAGGACCACATGGGCCTGGCCTGCTATGCGCTCATCGCCGTGGTGCTGGCCGTCCAGGTGGTGGGCCTGCTGCTGCCCCAGCCGCGCAGCGCTTCCGAGGGCATCTGGTGGACCGTGTTCTTCATCTACACCATCTACACGCTGCTGCCCGTGCGCATGCGGGCCGCAGTGCTCAGCGGGGTGCTCCTGTCTGCCCTCCACCTGGCCATCTCCCTGCGCACCAACGCCCAGGACCAGTTCCTGCTCAAGCAGGTAGGGGCCCACCGGCCACCGGGACTGGGTTGTGGGGCGGGCAGGTTGGACTCCAAAGAAAGGCATGCTTCTCATCCTCTAAAGTGGTGAAAACAGGCAGAGAGAATGGCTGGGCCATTTAGACTGCCCGCTAGCTTCTTTAGCCACCTCTGAGCCCCAGCGTCTTCCTTTACAAAAAGAAAGGCCGTGTGTTATTTGTGCTGTGCCTGGCTTCATAGGTGAAAATGATGGAGCGGTCCCCATGTCTCCTCGAGCTGCTGTCCCCAATACAAAGGGCCCCTAGCAAAACCAGTGCTGGCCCCTCTAGCACCCACCTCCACCTGAGAGCCCCTGCGGGTTAAGTAACCCAGTTCCGGATAGACCGTTGGGTTGGCACACCCTGGACCCGCCTTGCTGATCTTAAGGAGGGATAGGATAACTGTGGCACTTGTCCAGGCTGGGGGCCTGGGAGCTGGAGATAACCCTGAACTTCAGGGAGGACTGACAAGTTTGTGGCGATTAGCAAAGTGCTGCAACCCAGGGAGCTGCCGTTAGCAGAAGTGGGAAGGAGTCTCTGAGAGGTGTGTGGTGGCAAGTCCTCTTTCTGGCCCAAGTTTCCTGAAAGCTGGTACCGAACGTCATGACCCCTTCGAGTGGGTGCTCCTGGGTTTTGCTCATGGGGTGGGGAGGGGGGGCTTTTATCCCAGCTGGAACTTGTTGGGCCAGCCTGGAACTGTGGGCTCAGGAGGAAATAAAGCTTCTGTCTGGTTAAGTGGTGACTCACTGAAGGCTTCTGGGAGAGAGGCATGTTGCCATCGCATCCTTAGGGTGAGACAGCTGCTCCGACATGGGCTCCTTCTCCCTCTAGCGCCCTCCTGTCTGTGGTTTTGTGGTCCTAGCCCGTGGACCTGCTGAGCCTGCCCCTTCGCATGCTGCTTCACTCCACATTCCTGCAGTCAAGTGGACCCTTGCTGCAGGCGAGTCTCTTGACTGTTGACCGCACAGCCCCCCCCCACACACACACCCTACCCTCCTGGCGAGCTTTCTCTAATACAACCTCTTCTGGTACTCCATTGTAATTGTCCCCCCCCCCACACACACACACACACACTTTCTTTCTTTTTAGCTTGCTTTGGGCATTTGCATACTCAGGAGAGAGACAGAGAAAAAGAGACAGGGAACATAAGAAATCACCCCCAGGGTGGATGGCCATGCCACAGTCTCTTCTCTTCCATCCTCCTCTCGAGATTTTTGGGCACGCAAGCACACACACCTGGCATATTTTCCATGCTACCAGGTCTGGGACTCGAACCGCAAAGTTGGCCATGTGGAATCCAGACAACTTAACCCCCACTGCACCTGCTGGCCCCATCCTCACTTCTAATACTCTCCTCTCGGCAGCCTTTGATCTGTTGATCATTGCATCTTTCTCAAGGGTGCTCCTGAGTCCCAAAGCTTCCTGGACATGGTACTGTCCCTTCGTGAATCTCACTGGTTTCAGGGCCTGAGCTCTAGCTGATCCTGCATGAGAACGACTGAGAATGAGAGGACTGCCGGTGCCTCCTCCAGTTTCAGCATGCTGCATGCCAAGCCTCACCTGCAAGGAGCTTTCCTTTCTTCCAGCCACACTAGCCTCTACCGAGTGGGGCATGTCTTTATTCTCCAGTGTCCACGGGCTTTACTGCTTGTCCAGAGTAACCTCCTTGGATGCAGGAATCCTGAGGCAGCGTGTGTTTCCTGCCCCACCCTCTCTCCCTTGCCTAGTGTGGTGCTGACTTCTTAGTAAGGATTTAACAATTGCTTGCCAGTTTGGTTGGGGACCGAGGAGTGGAATAGGTGAGGTTGTTGATGCTCAGTTAACATCGTCTGTACTGAGATCAGAAGGAAAAATGTCTTTAGAGATCTACTGTGAACTTGAGAGAGAAACCTTTTGAGAGGAGGTGGTTTGAAAAGCTACTACGATTGCCTGTGCTTATAAAGGCTCCAGCTCATTTGACCTGAGGACTCATGCTTGCAGATGAGTGTTAGACTTTTGGGGAGTGTTGCTGGCTTGGGTGAATGTAGCTTATCTGCAGAGGAAAGGGCATGTCATCCATATGGAGAGGCAGAGACTTCAGGATAGTTCGAGTTTTCTGAACAGACTTGGGATACAGGGTCTGAGTACAGCTCCAGACAATCCTAGATGTATGATTTTGGGAGATTACAGTCAGATCCTAGGAATGGGGTGCTAAACCTGGGGTGCTCCTACTTTATCTTAGCGTGAGAATGCCACTGTAGCGTCAGAGCATCTGACTGACAGATCCCTTTTCTTTCCCTCCTCCACCCCGGCAGCTTGTACCCAGGCTTTACCTATGGTGGCCTTTAGACCTTTGCTTGGCTGTAGGATTTCTGGTGGATTTCCACTTAACTTTTCTGTATCTGCCCTGGGTAAGACAGAGTTTGTTATGAGTAGTCCAAGACAAGGAAATGGAAACATTCTTTCTGTTAGGCTTCAGAGGAAAATGCTATCTTTTTTGTTGTTCTTAGTTTGTTTATACTTGGTTTACCTTCTGATTATGCCTGCTACAGAATTTGTTTATTTCTGAGCAGACCCTATTAGATGGTGGGGATTAGTGGGACAGTGCAGCGTTAACCTCTGTGTCACGTTACCCCAGAGTGGCAGGTGTTTGAGGGTGACTTGAGTTGGATGCCTTTTTCGTTCTTTTCTTCAATGAAGACACATGTCCAGGGATATGGGGGGGGGGGAGGCAGTGAAAGGCTTCTAATGTTGGCACCTTGGAAATTTCTGGCCACAGTGTCGTCGGGCACATAGTAGGCCCCCAGTAAACTGTACTGGCATTTCTTCACTTCTGCAAAGCTGGTGGCTCCTCCCCCCCAGCCCGGGTCTTCATTGCTGTTATCTTTCCTGTGTACTTTAGTTTTCAGCGCTGCCTCCACCGTTAGTTCCCACTAGGAGAGGCGTTTGGTTTCTTAACCTGTGCCTCCCCATGGTTTTTGCTGGGGAGAAACAAGGAGTAAGGTGTGAGCCCTGGCTGGGGTGACGTCCCCTCCCCTTCTCTGCACCTCTAGCTCTGTTTGTCCCCACCCCCCTGCGAGCTCTCTCGCTCTCTCTGCCTGCTGCTCTCCACTCTTACTTCCTCTCTCCTCCCTCCCCCTCAGGTCCCCTGGTGCTCTGCCTACCTCTCCTCTGCTCTGCCTTCCTGCTTGTTCTGCTTTCCCATCTCTCACACCCCATGGTGGTCTCTCAGCCTCTCCTTCTGTGTTCTGCTCTCACCGTTGTCACCTGTCTCCTCGCTGGGGTACAGTGGGAGCTTCTCAGGGTTGTTTTTTCCTCCTTCTTTGCCTGTTAAAGTCCCTCTGCTACACCCATACCATAAATAACACTCGAGCATCTGCCAAACACATTCCTCACTTGTGTTAATAGGCTGCGATGATGCCGGAGCCTGTTGCCATGGCAACCTCATTTTTGTTTGACTGTATCCCACTCTGCTACCGAAAGCCTCTGCACGCATTCACACACAAACAAGCACGCTCACACAACTACCACGTATGCTGGGCTGTTAAAGACGATTTTGACAACGATGTCTTTGGGCCCTGTGGGGGTAAGGGGGATCCTTTGAGCTCAAGGAGCTGAGCACCTTCACTGTCCAGTGTTCTCTAGGAGGTGATAATGGAAGGGCCCTGTGAGCCCTATTCAGATATGCGTACTATTGTTATGTGGCCACAGTAATCTGCCTGCCTGGCATGGTTTTTGAGGCGATGATCCTGGCCCTGTGTGGACCGTATGTGGGCCCCATGTGGGCCCCATGAGCTTGGGGAAGCTGGTAGAGGGTGCCTTTGTAATGTGGGGCCATCTACACCCCATATCTTTCTTCAGCTCTTACTCTCTTCCTCCTGCCCCTTCTGGAGAAGCTCAGTGATCTCCTTCAGTCCTTCCTCTGTGCTTGCTTGAACCCACGACTGTTGCAGGCGCCATGTGAGTGATGCTCTGTGACCTGTGACCGTGGCATGTGTGTGTGTCTGTAGCCAGGAGGAAGGGGTGGGTGGGGTTAGGGATGTGGACCAAGAATCGCCTGCTGCAGCTGCTCAGGAGGTGTGCGTGTGTAAGCGTCCATGCGCACGCGTTGGTGTGTCTGGCTGGCATGTAGGCTGGCCTGACAGAGGAGCCTCCGTATTAACTTTGAAAGGAGACCACGGAAGCTCTGTCCTGTTTGTCCTTGGCTGGTACTTGGCTTCCTGTGGCATGTGCCTTTTGGCTTCTGAGCCTCGATTGCTCTTCCAACCTTGACTCCTGGCTCCGGGAGGTACTCCAATGTACTTGCCCTCCTTTTCATAGTGAGACTGAGGGTTCGACTGGAGGGGTCAGCTCCCCTGACCCCACGGAGTGCCACTCTTCCCTTTTATTTATTTTTTTAACTAATTGCCAGAGGGCTCTGCGCATGCTTAAAAGAGAGAGGAAGAAGAGCCACTCATCAGTGGGGTGTGGTTACACTGCAATCCCTCATCACCCCCATTTCTCCTTCCCGTCAGGATTTTGGGTACACAGGCACACGCACCTGTTATGTTTTTTAAGATACTAGGACCAGGATTCACACAGCAGTAGGCCACATGGGGTCTGTCTTCCAAAGTATTGTGCCTAACCGCCGTGCAACACTGTCTGCCTCACCCCAACTTTCCCTCTCTAGCATCCCTTCTGCTGTCCGCCTGCTCAGCAATCCGGAGCCCCCCTGCAGGGCTGCTTTCTTTCTCTGGAACCTGGTCCAGCAGCCTGTCTGATGGGTCACTGTGGCTTTCCCACTTGCACTGCTGAGCCTTGCAGAGGACACACTTCTACCATGACTCAGTGGCGGTCATTGTCGGCCACCAGTTACTTCTCATCTCCTGTGTTTTTAGGTGGCAGAGACCTGGCAGCCATGAACTCCAGTGCAGCAGCAGGCGGGGTGGGGGTTGGCTCCGAGTTTGGAGCAGAGGATTATCTTGGCTCAAGGGTAACTGAGTTGCTAATAGTTTTTGATCGTATT